TGTGCCACAGCAGCAACAACTGACGTCAAATAAAAACGTGTGAGCTGGCTTGCTCGGCTGCCCTCCTCTCATCCATGTGAGTTGTCGTAGCCATCTGAGAGCTAGGCGTGGGGACCCGCTGACAGGCGCTCAGAGCACAGACAGAGGGCTGCTTGCTGACAAAGAACTGACTGTCATGCAGATAATCAGTCCATCAGAAAGGCAGACACGTTTTCTCACATACTAACAGTGAAAATGTATTTTAGAGAAATCTGTAAGTTTTCCTGTACAGTTTTGATAACTCGCAGTACTTTATCGTGTCGTACCCATTGTGATATGAGCAGTATTAAACAGAGTTTCTGCAGAGATCTTTCCTACTGTTTATAATCCACTTTTGGCTCAAAGTTAGAAGATATTCCAAATAAACCCACGGTTACTAAAAGAAAATACAAATATATTTATTATCTTTACATTTGTAGACAGAACTTCCATTACATGTTGGAGGAAAGGGTAATGTCAGAATTTTGTACAATGTTTTGAATTATTTATTTATTTTTTGGATTTAAAAAGTTTTTTTGGTAGTGTGGCCTTTATTTTATTTTATTTTTTATTTTATTCTTGTCAGGTTGTTGGGATTTTGATTTACGTTTTTAAAAGTGCTGTTTTACCATTCAAGCAATATCCCAGACCTATTAATGAAACCGTGACCTATAACCTGTAATACACCATGCATCTAAATGTAGCACAGTCTGAAAAAAACTCTGTTCAGTTGTGTATTCTTTGTTCTTAAGATTCACATTCTTTTATAAATGGTGTTCCTCTACTATGCCGCTGTTACCACAATAATTTTAGGATTAGAGCCTGGTTTTTGTCCTCACACCATCATCATCTAACGTCTAACTTCACCTCAGTCAGAGATTCACCTTCGTATCACTGGAACGGTGCTGCCGTTTTCATCTTTGTGCAAACCGACGGAGCTAATTCTTTCTCTCTGCATCGTTTTTATCCATCACTCACTGTGATATGTAAATATGACTGTGGCGTGCGTGTGAGCGTGTGTCTGATGGTAATGGTGAGGAGCAGATGAAAAACAGTTCACAGGCGTGTGTTTATCTCTGTACAACATTGGGAGGTGTGTGTGCAAGGGGCTACAGTATGTGTTTCTGCTCAGTCCTTGACAGTGAGTCAGGGTTTGGATGAGTTACACCTAACTGTGTTGTTGGCTTGTATAGTGATGCTGCATGATTGTTTTCAGTTAAGCTGGTTTCAATTAAAAACAAACACCCATAAAATCATTCTGACGTGTTGCATGGATTTTTCTTTCATTGCCCCATGCCCCTGCTCCTGCCTCTGCTCCTCTCAACATCTAATAATTTAGCAGCTCAACTGCTCATGTTCTCTGTTCTTTTTTTGGTTTCTCCATACTCTTTCAAAAGTCAACACTTCTCATTTCAAACTATTTCACCCTTACTTGTCTCTGGACATGTTCATGGATAGATGTTGCCATAATATATGAGGTTATTTCTCTTTCTTTCCTTTGAGCCTTTTATTTGTGAAACACTATAATGGAGTATTGATCTGGTTTGAACAGAGAGCAGATCTTCCTACTCAGAGAGGGAGACACTGCTGCCAAGAGCCTAATAAATAAATGCACAACTGCTGAGACGCCTCACGCTGCTGGGAATCAATGAGGATCAATGCAACCACTGTAGTCATCTATTAAGGTGATAAATGACAGATCCATTCAGATTATCTAAATCACACATTTGACCGCTTCACACAGTGCCACAAGCATCATTTAGACATGTAAACAAATAAAGTAATTATTGCAAGAGGATTTAAAAAAAATCAGGAATCGTGTTAGCTATAATCAACTGCAGATCACAAACTTAAAATGTCATTTTTATAAAATATGGTTTGTGACTATTTTTTTGTCACCTGCAGGTGGCACTTTTCCTCCACCCAGAACATAAAGAAAGGCGCGGACAATATGGGGTATACTCCAGCTCCAATGTCCAGTATTTTCTAAAAAGAAAAAAAGAAGCTGGGGGGCGGGGGTGTTCTGGTTGTTGGGTGTGAGTGTGTGTGTGAGAGCACAGGAATGCTACAGTTGGTGTCCTCTCACAATTGCCATCATTTTGTCAGGATACACTTTTATTCATACAATCAATCTGGAACTGGAACTGGCCGTGAACACATCTACAAGTGGGTATGCTTTTATTCATTTATTTTAACAAGAATGCTTGTTATGAATGAAAAAAAAATCACTTGTTACCAATCCTTGTCAGTTCCACGCCACAGCTCACTAGCTGCACCAGGCATTTTAAAGGCGTGTAAAGCAGAACCTTGTTAACGCAAACAGAACATAGTCCCACTTCCGCCGGTACGCAACTGTGATGGGACCCAATCTCCACAGATCCAACTTCACATTAGGCCGGGCATACACTGTACGATTTTTAAAAAGCTTGTCATTGATACCATCACACACTACGAGTAATCGTGTACGGCCAAAGCTCACGATTTATGTACTAGAACTGTACGGTCCGATCATCGAACACAACCAGAGAGCTCACCCTGTCCGTTATTATTATTATTATTAATGTTGTTGTTTGGCAGTGTGGCAGTCCACAAAAAACATACATTTATTCAATGCCCAGTATTGTTCCTCCATTTTGTCTAAATAACCTGTTTTAATTTTTTCTGCAGAATATCGCCGTCTACTGGTGACATATAACAAAACCGACTGCAAGTGTGTGGCAATCGACATAACTTCCGGCCGTAAGTTTGTCTTGCAGTTGCACGTTTGAGCCACCGGAGGGCGAATCGTACAGACAACCTAATGGCCGGACCTCGTTGTTGGCGGAGCTAAACCGAACAACCGACCGCATTACCAGACAAGATTTCATCTTAAAATGTGTTCCTACGCCAAACTGCCCTCGTGGACCATGAATAAAATAGATATCTTTTGATAGAAGAACAGCAAAAACAATGCACTTCATTTAAACACTCACTTTGTAGTAAAAA